GAACGCCGGCTTGGTTCTCCTTTCATTAAATATATTCATATCTATATATTTATTTATATATTTATATAAGTAATAAACTATATGCATATATGCGTATCATTGTGTATTCATCGCACTCGAATCGCCAAGACGAAACTCATGCTTCAGGTAACGTCGGGCTGCGTCGCACCGTAAAGCGAGAACACACGGGCGCTTCTGTGGCACTTCTTATTTCTTCTTTGTCGTTTCCTCTTCACTGTCTTGTTTCTTGTTTCTTGTTTCTCTTCCACTTTTCGAGTCCATTTGTTATCTTACAAAAATGATTTACTTCGAAAAAAATAAGGACCAAGTGTTTCCCGTCTGACTTGTTCCTTTCATTCCTATCTTTCTTTCTTTCTTTCTTTTCTTCTCGTACGTATATATTCCTTCTCTGCTATTTCATCTCTCGGTCCTTTCCCACGGATTTTCGTATTGCCATTTCACACTCGAAAATGAGTAACGCGTGTTACACACAGGATACGAGAGGCTGTGTCTCTCTACGCACCGATAGCGGATCCGTGACGATCCTTCTTTCAGTTCTCTTAACCGATAGAAGAGTAACTTTGAATTGACTATAAAGTTGGTGCAAACAATTTAAAAAAAAAAAAAATTCTCCTAACGACGAAAGTAGCGATTACAACTTTCGAATGTAATTATATCGAATATAGTGGTCTTTTCATTACTGCCCAGACCATATTAAACTGTTACGCCTCACCCAAACAATTCTATTATTATATTCGTTTAGAATATTCTAGACTTCTCTCCCTGTTTTGCTTTCTTTTCTTCTAGTTTCTTTTTCTTATGTTCGGCGTGTTTTCTTAACGCGCGTTACACATTACTAGGAAAGCACATGATTGCCAATCGTATATATTTCAAATCCAATAAGGATCATTTCATACATATCGTTTACATGTACATTGTTGGATACGTGGCCATGTTTTGCGGGAGAGAAGTAATAAAATTTGGGGTGGGCGGTCTGGGACTATGCCACTGTGGTCAGAGATCCCGAAGCTTTTTTATACCGGCTTGGACGTAGCGCACCAGGTCACGCAAAGAGCTTTTCAGCGTGAGAGGGCCTAATTTTTCATCCAGCTCGATAAAGAAATCTACAAAAACAAAAACGAAGTGTGTACTCTTCGACTATTCCAAGAATATTATTCAAAAGAATATTATTCATGAGAAGTCGAAGATTCACCTCTGTGCTTATCTGTCACCAGACTATTTGCCTGGTCCCATAGTTCGAGACAGTTCAGTAGCAAGCCAAAGTTGTAATGTTGCCTGCTCATGGCGTTATAAATATTAAGTGGAATAGTAATGGTAGCTCCTGGTTGACCAGAAGCAGCTCGATTCGCCAATTCGCCGCTGCTGTATCCAGAACTCTGGCTACCAACGGAACCCACGGAACCGGCTGGCGATGGTGTCGGTGACAAACACGGGGTTCCATGTCCCTCTGGTATCGGTGTTCCCGGAGAACCCTAACGATACGATGAGAACGACAAAATTTATTACACAACCGGTGAATTTGTTGACGATAAAATATCCAAATCCGATACAATACACCTACCTTTGTCTGATACTCGTAGATAAGTTTTTGGTTATCTTTGATTTCGTATCTGCGCATCCTGAACAACTTCAAGTATATGAGGGACTGGCAAAAGAGACTGAAACAAACGAGAACGAACGGTGTTTTTTAACGGCGTTTTAACGGCGGAATTGCGGAATAAAACGAGAAAAGCTGAAAAATTGTGCACTCACCTTAGAATGGCCAACTTGTTATGTATATTGCTCTCTACTGAGTTGTTCTGCTGGCACTTGAACTTTGAAGAGATGTATCTAAAGCGAGGGAAAATCGAGGATCGTATTAATTACTTGGAAATACTCTTGGTCGTGGTTCACGATTGATTAGAGATGTACTCACTTGATGAGGCTGAGCGTATCCTTGAACATGGTAAACGACGCTCTCTCAGTTATAGGATCGGACTCCATAGCGTTACCAGTAAGTAGGAAGCACAAGACGGCCTCTAGGTAAAGCATACCCTGCGATATGATCTCGCACTCCTTGTCAGCGCTGTGCTTCAGTCGTTTGGCTTCCATCAGGTACTGATTTTGGTCCCTGTGTATACGAGCAAACGAGTGAATTAACGCGCCCAACTGATGCAAGTTCAGCCGGGGGTGGTTTTAACCAAGGTGATCAAACGTTTACTCACCACCTGTCCTGATCATCTAGAACTTCATTTTGTGGATTGAAGTAGGAATAAAATAAGCGCTGAGGTGGAGGTGGTGGCGGCAATAAATCGGTGTCAAGATTCTCTTCCCGTTCATGATTCGTCGGTTGTATATCAATTTGTTGCTCCATACCCATATCGATAACCATACCATCGCTCAGGGTCGGGCAACGTCGAGCGAAATTCAACGAAAACAGGAAATCTAATTTATCGGATACCTGGCTGCAAGATGGCCCAGACACGACGGGGTCAACGTCAATATCATTGATCTTTCTCTTTTTGCTGTCTTTGTGTTCCGCGTTCGACTTTGACTCCACAGAGCACACAGTACTTAAACTGGACACAGAACTACAACTCGGATTACGTTTCCTCTTGGGTGCGCTACACGTAGCGTTAGCACCACTACTGCCACTTCCACTAGCATCTGCACCGACAATACCAGCGCCGTGGCCGATGCCGCAATTATTCTTCGTGTCCGATATAAATTCGCCCTTGATCACAGCGCGGTTCTTCAGATCACCGTCAATTAGCAACCCGTCGCCGTGAATCCTCGGGTCGGAGGCTAGCTGTTGAGGCGGCGGCGTGTCGACGATTTCCCCCTCCTCCGGCGTGGGTGGCCGAGGGGGTTGATGAGACGAGGTTTGCCTCGACGACGGCCTCGTATCTGGAAGTTCCGTGCGCTGTCTCAACTCTTGCCCTCTCGACAGCTGCGATATGTGCGGAAGTTTATTCAAGTCGATCCTGCAGAACAAACTCGGCACGCCGTTCACGTAGGTGAGCGGGGGGAAAGACTGCATCATCATGCTGGACGACCGTGACGCCGGCCTCTTGTAAGGACTCTCCCCTCCCGTCGGTGTGTTCGCAGAGGCTGTGTACTCTTCCACGTAGATGCCACACTTTCCTCCGCCTTTGCCACCTTTGCCTCCTTTACCTCCGACCTTTCCTCCGCCCATGGACGATGAGAACACTTTTCGAAGAGTGTCGCTCTTCTTCTTGTCCTGCACGTTGCCCGCGTCCTCCTCCTGCAACTTCGAGCCCGGACTGTTGTCGCTGTCGGAATTCTCCGGTGAAGTGGCCCGAGTCGGCGGTGCCCTTGGCCTCGGAGGTACCCTATATTTGCAACAAAAACTTATGAAACTTATGAACCACCTCGAAATTTATACTCGAAAAGAAATCCCGTTTGTTTTGTACAAGAAATGCTCACCATGCGACCTGACGATTCCTCACAGACATCTCAGACTCGCTGTCGGAATCAGAGACGGTGACCCGCGTGTTGGACCTCCTCGTCGGTTTCCCCTTTGTCGGTTTCTTCTCTTGCTTCTTTGGCGAGTCTGCCAGTTTGCTTCTCTTAAGGGGCATTCTCCTCCAACGTGCGGTACTATCATCTTCAGTGTTGATGATCTTTCTATTCAGTGGGCTTTCGTCTTCGCTCTCCGAGGAGCCACTCAGCCTAGACCTCTTTTCGTTCATTGCCGCGACGACAACGGGCGATACCCTGCGAGTTGTCGCTGTCCGATCGCTGTCCGAGTCGCTGGACTCCCCTTGCGATCTGTCGTCGCTTCCGTCGTCGCTGGTCGTTATCATCGGCTTCGAGAGAGGCGCCTTTTTCTTCGGGCTGCCCACTCCTCTGGCTCGGCTACGAGCTTTGCCGTTTTTCAGAGTTTCCTCCGCAATTCGATGACCGCCGCCGCCGCCGCCGCCGCCCTTCGGGCTCTTCGTCGGCTTCCTCGGTCGGCCACGTTTCCTCGCGTCCGTGACCACTACCACCTTCGGTTTCTCTGGTTGGACGCGAAGAGTCTGCTCCGCCGGACGTTTTTCCTGATCCGACGGACGATCGCTGTCGCTGTCTAGCAAATTGAGCATCGCGGTGGTGTTACGCTTGCTCTTCACGGCGTCGCTGAGCTGCCAGTCGTGGGTCGCCTTGTCCCTCAACGTCCTGGGGTTCGACGCCGTCATCGAAGACTCGTCACGCCTGCTGCTGCGATCCTGCGAAAATTAGGGAACTCTAATGAAACCAATGTGCGAGCAGGTGTTCGTATATTTACGCGCGTAAAAGATGCGAACGTTCGAACTCGGAAATAGAGTCGGAATTCAGCCGTGGCTGTCGCTCGCCTTATCGGAGTCCACGGCGAGACCCGAAGTTGGACAAAGTTTGCCGAGGCATTACGGCAACCGTGCAACTCGGTCAAAGTTTCGGAGGATGATTGTACTTTGTACAATCCCGTGTGTCACACGATCTACCAAGAACCACCACCACCACATACACGTTCACGACCGTATATATATATCATCTCAACCATGCGACACCCTCTCAATCATTAACCACTGACCGCACGTATGTTATCAATCAGAGAAGAGAGAAGAGATTTCGATTTCGATTTCTTTAACAGAATTTGTTAGTGATGACACGTGACAATGAGAGTGTGAGAGAGAGAGAGAGAGAGAGAGAGAGAAAGAGAGAGAGGACAGGTCGATGGAAAGGAGAAGCGTACCTGCGACTGCTTGTTCTCCGGGTTCTGCTCCCCGTGAGGCACCGCGGTCTTGTTGAAGAACGAGCTGAGGTTCCACCGTGGCTTCGACTCCTCGATCGCAGGCAGCGGCTCTTCGATCAGATTTTCGTTCTTTGGTGATACCGAGGGGGGAGTGGAGGGGCCCTTGGCCGGCTGCGTGCTGCCAGTTTCATCCTCGGAGTCGTCGCTGCTGTCGGAACCGGAATCCGAGCCGGAATCCGAGCTGGAACTGGCGCTTCCGGAGCTCTGCGGCGCCTGGCCCAAGGGGCTTGGCGGCCTTTGATGCATCGCCGATCTCGACGAACTTGCTTTCGACTGCAACGGGCTCACAGGCGGGGGTGAGAGCACTTCCTCGGGCGTCATTTGCTTCGCGGGTGACGGCTGCCTGCTTGGGATGAGCTGCCTGACGGGCGAAAGCAGACCCACCGGTGACGGAGCCATCGGCGACATGGGCGCCAAGGGTGGAGGGGCTGGTGTCATCGCTGGTATCGATAAACTGCGAATAAAACATCATCGGTTTAACTAACATCACAGTTATATCATCACGGTATCGCGTAAGCACGAACGTATTATTTAACACGTTGAATGCTACGGGGGTCACCGAAGATTGGTAAAAACACGTCGATGTTAATTACTTTTAAATTCTTCGATATTATGCTTTTAATATTTTTCAAATTTAGACTATTACAATGATGTGAAGAAATTAATACAGTGTAAAGCGTACAAAAATTATTTTACTCGTAAATATTATTAAAGCACTGCGAACAAAGAAAAGGTAAATCAATACAGCCTTCACAATGTGACGACTTTTTTGGTACAATTTGTTGCATTTGCTCTACCTAATTGTTTTGAATTTTCTTCATAACATTTTTTTACAAGATCGTTGCACGATTCTGGTTTCCTTGCCATTTTTTTCTTTGTTTTTTTTTTTCCATTTCATGGCATAGTTTTCTCTATAGTACGTGAAGAAACGCAATCATGAATTTCGCTATGTGTAGTAAAAAAATAAGTGAAAATCGAAGAAACTCATTTCATTAAAAATAAACTCGTTCAACTTATCAGTTACAGACGATATCGCACAGCATAATACCGATTGTATAATAAAACATTCATAACATATTATTTAATTAGCAATTCAGATACCGATGTCTCTTAACCAAACTAAAAATAATAAAGCGATTCAGACAGGTTTGTCATTGTCAAGTGACAATCTTCACTATTCTTGATGCAAGAATTGAATTTGCGAGTTAAAGATGCAAAAATAGGTGGCAAATAGTGAGAAACTAAGGCTCGCGAACAGTAAAGTCCCGTCGTTGGAGGATGATAAAATAAACCGGGCGCGTTGAATTTGAAACAGGATAACGGGACTGTGTTAACAGGAGCGTTAATCGACGAGCGTAACGATAAACTCGGGACACTTACTCGACTGTGAGGTCCGGGCTTCTGTTTCCCCTTGTCGCTCGCAATGGCGTTTCCTGCGGAAAAGCCAAACGATCATCGATTAATTTTGCACGAACTTGCTTTTTTCCATTGCGATCGCGATATCATTCTCCGCGTTTCTCTCGAAACGGTACACGTTCGATAATACCTCTAATCGATTGATATTTCAATAACGATGTTTGTTACCTTGTTTGCTTCATCATCACTGTCCTCGGACAAACTTAAGTCTCGCTCCAAATCGCTGCAACAAAAGAAGAAGAAACAGATGTCCTTAATAAAAATTCGTAATAAAAAATTTAACGCAATCTTATGATAAGAAGGAAACGAAAGAGAAGAAGAAGAAGAGAGTTAATTTTTATTGGAATCCTCTTAGATCATTTTCATCCATTCGTAAATAAATACACAGTGAAAAGTAATAACTGTGATGAAACACAGTCGATGACTTTAAACTGATATAACTTTATAAAAAAAAAAAAAAAAAAAAAAAACGTTAGTGTAACGATCCACTTGGTCTCATTTTAAAGCGTGAAGCTTCTACTTTGACAGGCTTGGGTTCGTTTTTCTCAAAGATGAAAGAACGTGTAGACGGAGAGCGAGGATGCTTTATTCTCGAAAAAATAGTAAAAATTCAAACGCGTGTAAAAAACTTCTATTCACGAGTAAATCCACAAACCATTGAAGATTGAAAACCTTTCTCTCAAACTCGCTGTATAATTTTATTATTTATGATA